TGACAGACCCCAGAGACAATGGAAAGCAGCCAACACTCCAGCTCAGCCTGATTGACAAGTTGGACAGGCCAGTGAGAAAAGCAAGAGGCCAGGACCTATCCTCCGTGTGAGCTGGGATTGTTCTGGGTCTCTCTGAGCAAGGAGAGAGCAGAGAAACTGCTAAGAGGAGTGCAGGCTGTGCTGAGGGGCAGTTTTTGTAGCAGCAGAGCCAGACACACACAGCTCAAAGAGTGCAGACCCTGTGTTGAGCAGCAGACTGGCAGTGCTCAGAGAGCCAAAAGGAACAGAGAAGTAACGCAAGGAGCTAGAGACTGGCTAAGCAGCACAGCCTTCAGCTGGATGTGGTGAGCAGCTGGGAACTGCAAAGTGTGGGGAGAGGCTCTGGACTGGGAGAGGGGTCTGGCCACTTAGAGCTTGAGGCCGTGTGGTCACTGCCAGAGCAAGCGTGTCCAGCCTGCAGCCCCCTGCAGCACATTCAGGGCCTCTAAGGAAGAGACTGTGAACTGTCCTTACACTCTGCAGACTGCTGTTTTGATGTCGCTGTGCTACAGAGCAGGGCTGTGTTCTCATTTAACCATTCTCATTTTTTTCTTATTCTTTTCTCTTTAATCAGTTGATGTTTAATAAATTTTATTTGCTTTGAACCTTATGAAGTGATCACTGGGCCAAGAAGGCCTGCAGTGTAAAGAGAGCACCTTGGAATGGGGACACCCTAACTCCTGCCCCTAGTGACTACAAGGTCGGGGATTAAGCCCCAGGAAACCTGGGCCCAGCCTTGTTGGGGTTTCGAGGACTCTGCTACTCAGGGGAGTAGAAGGGGAGCCCTCAGGATCAGGGGAGCCATGGGGTAAAGGAAGTGGGAGCGGGGACTCAGATCCTTTCGCTGGTCCATTTCACCGGGGTGTATAGAAGCCAGGAAAGTTCCCCACAATAGCGGGACCATTCCCCCGCTTACAAAAAGATAAAACCTTAAAATAAATGTACTGACTACAGAAAGATTACGTGGCTTTGAGATTGTTACCTAAGAAATAAAAAGTAAATACACAGTCTAAATCCTGAACTTTATCAGACTCAGTAAGCTTTTCTCACCCACTGGATGTTACAGTCACGTTAGAGTTCTTGGTACACAGACTGAATTCCCATCTCAGCCTGGGACTAATCTCCTCAGTTCAAAATCTTTGTCCTCCCAGTGTTGTTGCCCTCAGAGTTGGGGAGTAGAGTGGGGAGGGGGGAGATGATCTCATGATGCCAAGATCCCTTATTTGTACTCTCAATTCACGAGCCTGGAAAAATACTGGCCCAGTCATGTCCTGATGGGCTTTGCTGAGTCACAGAATTGAGACATTACTGCTGTGTGGTGCTTGCATAACTGTCTCTCATTGAATTTAAATCTCTTGTTTACAGTTCCCCTGGTCAGTGGCTGGTGATGGTTGTTTAACAACTACCTGGGCATGGGTCACTTTCTTTGTTGCCCATGGAGAGCTACCTGTGGGCATCTTCTAGACTGGCAACATATTTCAGTAATAACTATATAGAGAAAACTCATTACTCCACATATAATGATAATCTGTATAATTTCACGGAACAATGAGTTTCAGCAGATCATGACTTTTGATACCTTTCTGGGTATCCTTTGTACAAAATATAACCAGACACAAGTACTGTGTCTGCAAGGTGCTCTTTTGAGATACCATGTTCATGTTTACACATAAATATTTAATATGTATGTGCTGGCTGAATTATGACTAGTTTTCTTCAATGAATATATAAAAGCAGCCTCGAGTCAATGTTGCGTCTTTTAGTCTTTGCCATGACTTGTGCTTTGCTTTTTATACTTCCTCTAACTGGTTTTCAATGCCTGCTTTTGGCCCATATGTGGCCTTTGTTATAAAACATATAGCTGCTAATAATTCTCTACTTCTGTACCAAAGCAATTGCACTGGAACAAACTCATGCCAATATACTATGGTGCTGGGCATCCTCATGCTCCAGTTATAGGGCACCAGTTGAGATACAGAATGGACTGTGGTAACCTTAAAAGGGACTGGAGAACCAGTTGGAGTGACTTCCCCCTCTGTTGTTGCCCTACACAGTCCATGCTGCTCTCTAATTTCACACTTAGAATCGTAGGGCCAGATGAGACCTCAAGAGGTCATCTAATCTAATCTTAATCCCTTTAACTTTTCTCTGTGGCTTCCCAGGAGGAAATTAAATAGAATGCATAGTGGAGAGTTGAAAGCCATCTCAAAATAAAATGTGGGAGTTGACACACAATAATCTATTAATAAGGGTTGTTTGGATTTTGTAGTTGAATGAGTAGGGCAGGTGCATCAGTGATTATTAAAGCAAATTTTCCAAAAACATGCATTTCAAAGGATGCGGACATTTCGTTTAAGTTCCCACTAGTGTGTTTGTGTGTGTGTTGTAATATAAATTCTGTGGGAAAAGACTACATTTGCCAGTTTGGGGAAGTTGTTGAACTTTTTAAATTAATTTCAACATCTAACGACATTTATATATCCTGCTGGATACTACAGTACATCACAACATCTTATAAAAACATTATAGTTGTAAATATTTTTATGAAAAATATGTTTTTTATCATTTGTGTTTGTAGGTGGTAGACTTTACATAGTAAAAAAATTACCTTTATGGACATATGATCATGCTGATATCCTCTCACAGGTGACACAGAAGGGAATGAGGCCGAGGCTTGTTAGGGCCTGTAAAATGCTGCAGAGAAACAGCAATAATGGTACTTATAATATGCTATATAAATGCTATCTTCAAAGTGTTTGGAAATGTTTAATTAACCTTCACAGCTGATAGCTAATGCAAGCATTTTTGGGCAATATGTTATTTTCATTTTACCTTTGGGTACTGAAAACAGGGGTTGGTTAAATGACCTGTCACTTCCTATATCTGTGCAAAATTTGGGGTAGAACCTAGGAGTTCTTAGCTCCAAATCAGTGTTGTGTTCCTTGGATGGCAAGATAACTAATCTGTTTCTAGTTCTGCATTGCAGATGGTCTACTCCCTGAAAATATAAACAGAATGTCCAGATGGGAATAAACAAGAACATTTAAGTCCTCAAGATTTGGTATTATTCATTTAAGCCCTAAAGACACAGCTGACCAATACAGTGGCAATATTAGTTACTTTCTGATTTAGAATCTAAATAATTAGTCGTTAAACTATATTACTGTTATCTACAAATTTGGGAACAGAATAGACACCACATAAACAATAATTTTAACTGAGGTTCACTTTTGAGGTCAATATAAAACAATAAAATAGGAATGACTGGCAGTATGAACAATTTTTTTCTCAGCATGTTTCTGGACTTTTGAAATCCATTAATAGTCAGTGCTACCTACCCCTCTGGTAGTTGGTGTTTGTGGGACAATGACCAAGTTTAGTACAGTTTATTTTTTGTTTAGTGTCCACTACTGCGGCAGCTCACACTGCAGTTCCAGATATCAAAACAAAACTTTGCACCTACTCTTTGCCACCTGCAAAGTCTCAGAGCTCCCATTGGCTGGTTTCCAGTAGGGATGTGAATGGTTAACTGATAAGCATCACTCTTATTGGGTGATGCTTACTGGTTACAGTTAACCAGAAGCTGGGCTGAAGTAGCCCTGGCCGGAGTAGCTGGGCTGGAGAGTGGGGGGGTGCTCCAGCCTGGCCAGAGCAGTCCCTGTTTGCAGACTGGAGCAGCCCGCTGTGCCATGCCTGACCAGACCCTGATTACAGTAGGGGGCCTTTCCAGCCCAGCGTGGGCTGGAGCTCCCTCCTCCTCCCGCCCACTCCCATTTAAGAGTTAACCAGTTAACTGATTAAACAGGATTTTGCACCCCTAGTTTTCAGTCAGTTGAAGCTGAGAGAATTTGCTAAGGGCAGAGGCAGTGTACAACACCTCTTTCCTCTTCCCCCTTTCCTGCAGCTCAGAGAGCAACAGGGAGCAGCCACCCACTTTGAGCGGCCACTGCTCCATGCCGCAGGGGAGGGCTGGAGACCAGATCAAAGGACTTGGTGGGCCGGATCCAGACCTCAGGTTGTATCTTGCCTGCCCCTGCTATAAGCCCATGCCTAGGGCCCAATATTGGGGGGGTCATGTGATGATACCAGAATTTCTGTTTTAATTTTTTATACCCTTCATGGTTGCAAAGAAAATGTAAGAATGTGAATCAATAATCTCTGACAGGTGTGAACTGTCCCATGCATCTCAATGGGATGTTCATTCCCATGCTCACTATGCTGGGTTGCCCTGCCAACACCATTTCAAGGGATAGGAGTCTTCATAACGAGCATGCAATCATACAATAAAAATTGTGTATCTCAATTATCACATTGGTATGGAGAAAAAATAAACAGCTATTCTTTGAACTCTCAGAAACCAGGTCTTAGGTTTCAAAACTCTGTCTCGTCTACTGTCCCAGTTAGAGTGGTAAATCTATGTGTTTAGTACCAAGTTAAGTTCAGGTCTGCAATCTTTTTTTACATGGCTCACATTGGAGAAGAGCAAGCTGTAAAATGTTGACAAAAATAGATTTAAAAAAATGCTTGTGAAATCTGTTTTCTGTTCAAGGATCAGCTATAGTTTTAATGTATTCAATGACAAAAAAATTCAATGAAAAACAAAACTGAAGTGGTTCCAATATTTAGTCCCCTCCCTCGTGCCTTTTTGACTATATCTATATTGGAGACAACAATAACTTTGATTCAAGGAAATAAAAAAATGGAAAATATGCAGGTAAGTTTCAATAAAGGGCATATGTGCAATCTTTGTGACACACCACCTGCCTTCTACAGGAACAAATCTTCATTGAGTTCAAAGTTCAATTATCATTGGTGTGTTAAATGCACAAAAAAGCATAAAATGTGTTCATATGAAATATTACAAATCAAGATTTTATACATCCAAAATCAAGTTAGATTTTATTTATGCAATTTTATTTCTTAATAATGTATCAAGGCTATTGTTTGCTTTTTTGTTGCAGGGATGACATGTCAAGCCCGAACTTCATATACTGAAGATGAAGTTCTCTGGGGTCACCGTTTTTTCCCTGTGATTTCCTTAGAGGAAGGATTTTTTAAAGTAGACTATTCCCAGTTCCATGCAACATTTGAAGTCCCTACACCACCATACAGTGTGAAAGAACAGGAAGAAATGCTTCTTATATCTTCCCCTTTAATAGGACCAGCTGTAAGTAACAGTAAAGAAAGGAATAATTCTGTAGAATGTCTAGATGGTCTAGATGACATTAGTACAAAGATACCCTCAAAATTGCAGAAAATGACTGGAAGAGAAGACTTTCCCAAAAAACTACTAAGGATGAGTTCTACAACCTCTGAAAAGGCATACAGCATTGGGGACTTACCTATGAAACTTCAGCGAATAAGCTCTGTTCCTGGCAACTCAGAAGAGAAACTGGTATCTAAAACTACAAAGCTGATGTCAGATCCTATGAGTCAGTCTGTGGCTGATTTGCCACCAAAGCTTCAAAAATTGTCAGGAGGAGGAGCTAGAATGGAGGGGAAACTTCCACCCAAATTGAGGAAAATGAATTCTGATCGATTTACATAACAAAGAGACATTTAGATATTATTTAAAGTTTGCATTACTAGTCAATTCAATTTGAGCAGGAAGCAAACCCTCTGAAAAGAGTACAGCCGGTCCCCCAGTTACAAACGCGTCGATTTATGACCGTTCGTATTTATGACCAACCTCCTATACAGCCGGAACCTGAGTTATGAACGAAATCTGCACTTACGAACAGTACGGCCGTACATCAGTGAATGTAATCCGACTTACAAACACATCAAGTTATGACCAAGTGCTTGGAATGTAACTCGTTTGTAAGTCGGGGACCGTCTGTACAATTGATAAAAAATGAGTTTGCTAAGCACTACATGCAAACTGGGACAGCTGTGTTCTTCCCAGATAGTGATATACTGGAAGTATAATATGATAAGACCTGAAGTCCCGACTGGAATCATATGAGAGCTAATATTAATTGGCATGTAGTATCACAACAAGCATGCAATAATAGTGTGCAATTTTTGCATATAGTTTTCTGGCATGATTCTTACTATATTTATATTGTATATTCTGAAAATATGTAAAGGGGGGTGTTATTCTCTCCTGTTTCTTAAGAGTAAGTAATAGGTAAAACATGAGTAGGTAACTTTCAGGGCAAGTTATAATTTAATTTAAAATGTATTTTTTTTTCTGATTGTAGATTGTGATGTTTTGTTCAAAGTAGTTATGATGCATGTTTTCTTTCTTAAAATAAGGCTAGCCGCATTAGTCAATTCCAAACACTAAATTTCTTAGCCTTAAATTATTTGTCACTTTATAATTTGCTTTAATATTTTATTCGTGTTTTTTTTCCTGCCATTACAATGCTGGGATAATTTGAAGTATACTTCATAAGAGGTGTTGGCAGAAATTGTGCTGTTTAGGGCTGGGCAAAATATTTCAAACAGAGTTTATGTTTTTAAGCACAAAATATAAAATCAATAAAGTGAGATCATTTTGTTTCATGATTATTAACATAAGAAAAATGTTCAAAATGAGCATATTTGTGTGATTTTTCTGATGTCATTAGTATCGGTCTATGAAGAAGATATGAAAACAAATATCTAGATTTTCTGGGTGAAATCTTGCCCCAATTACATTAAAGACAAAATACTGATTTCGCTTCAATGGGACTGGAATTTCAACTTCTACTTTTAGGATCCAGTCATGCAAGCTGTTGATTGTGCTTCAGTGTGATTACTTACCTGATTAGGGACTACGCACTTGAGTTAGAGTTTGTAGGATATTTTGTTTTCATTTTCCTAACAATTTGGAATTTCATGATCAGAATTATTTTTCTGAATTTTGAAAAAAATTGCTAAAGTTAAAGCATTTACTGAAACTCCAAAAAATTTAATGTTCTCTTATTGCCCACAAAATCCATCTAGGCAAACAATCTTTCCTTTTTGCTGTCTATATTGTGATAATATTTTAAATTGATTAAAATATACTTAGATGTGTTCTAAAGTTCAAAAGGTCACCTCTTTGAAACTGTATTTTTAAATGTTTTATTTTTCATTTCACTTTGTTCTAATTTTTTCTTTGCCAGGGATGAGCTAGCCTCGTGTGGCAAAGTTAAGGCCCTACGAAATTCATGGTCCATTTTGGTCAATTTTACAGACATAGGATTTAAAAATGTTTAAATGTCATGGTTTTAGCCATTTAAATGTGAAATTTCACAGTGATGTAATTGTAGGGTTACTAACCCCCCAAAAATGTGGGGAAGGTTATTGTGTGCAGAGGAAGGGGTTCCAGTACTGCAGCCATTACTTCTGGGCTGCTGGAGAGTGATGGCAGAGCTGCTATTAGCAGCAGTGCAAAAAATGTCATGGAAGAGTATTACCATCATTACTTCTATGCTGCTGCTGGTGCAGTGCAGCCTTTAGAGCTGGGTTCTCGCCAAAGCTGTCACTCTCTGGCCACCCAATTCAGAAGGCAGCACAGAAGGATGACAAAACCACAACCCTCCCTAAAGTAATCTTGCACCCCTCCCCCCCTTCAACTCTATTTTGGGTAAGGACCCTCAGTCTGAGAAACTCTGGTTTCCCCTGTGAAATTTATGTAGTATAGAGTAAAAGCACACAAAAGACCAGATTTCATGGGAGGACAGCAGATTTTTCACTGCTGAGAATTTGGTAGGGCCCTAAGAATAATATAGTACCTCCAGCCAACCATGGGTCAGTAGCATTTTGGCACCTATCAGCTGCCTCTACTGGGACCTGTCTCCATTTTTCCTCTAAAAGTTGAACTTCTATGTAGCATACATCACAGTATCTGAAAATGCTCATTAATGTATGCTATGACATTATTACTAGAAGTGGTACTTTGGCATAGTTCCTGCATCTGGTTTGGAGTTTCAGGAATAAGGCTGGCTTTCAGGATACCTTCAGACAGTCATAATTTTATGTTGGCTCATCTGTAGTCTGCTTTCAAAAGGGTCAGAATGATTAATTTGACCATAAATATGTAGCTAGTGTACTTCTGGAAGCAGGGTAATTAAATAGGACAACAGCAGCAAAAATAGTAATTCTGGTCTCAAAGTATGTGATGTAATTTTTATGTAATTAACTAAAATAGTTTTGGGACCACAGTGAACAAGAATCTTTTTTACTTTGAGAACACACATTAATCAGGATGTACATTAACTGATTTCAATCATGTGTTGGCAGTTCTGATTCAAAGGGCTTTGGACCATTTTAAATGATAAAGTGCACATTTATAATACTGTATAAAGAAGTAATAATAGCAGATCTACAAATATCTGGAAAAATTCTTTTTTAAATTTTGTTTTGTAATTGGTTCTACATTGCTGAAAGCATTAATTCAAATATAATGATACTCAGCATAGGTCACCATCTGTCAATTTTGTACTTATAGATTTCACATTTACTTTCAGAATTTTTCAGAGTTTATAATCTGTGATCTGTCTTACATGCTTGTTAAATCTTTGGCTAAATTGTCAGCCCTTTGCACATTATTCAGTGTGCATGTGTAGTATCATGCCATAAATGCCTGGTAAGCAAAATTCTGATATGTTAAAGATTAATTCTGAAAGTGAGTTGTCCCCTTGTTGTTGACACTTTGACAGGTTTTATTACAAAATACATTTGACATCTCTGCTATGGAAGTCTGAAAAAATCCAGTCAGGTCAATTTTTGGCAACTCTTTTTCCATTATATAAGTTTCTGCGGCATGGAAATTGGACTTTAAAACAATGTTACGCTTAAATGTTTAGTGTTTGCCCTTGGGAAATTTGGAAATAAATGTGTGCAAGAATATGTCCAAAAGTAATTAAATTATGCTAGGAATTCAAATGTTTCTGAGAATTAGAACTGTTGATAAAGTGCAAGTGAAACACAAGTTACTGTGGCCATGTCTGTGTGACAAAGTGTGGTTGATGTTCAGCTGGAGACTTTTCAATACATTTGGGTTGGGCACATTCATACTTAGGTGCTTGTGTTGGTGCTGTGCATACCCACTACAAGTAGTCGAATGTAAAATGTGGTGCATCACAGGTAGATATCCCAGTATGCCTCATGCAACCGTCTGTGGCAGTTCCTTGTGAGATTTTTACAGGGCTTTATGAAATACTAGTGATTTGCCAAGGGTTTTCTGAAAACTAGGGGTTATTTCCCCACTTTCATCATCCTATAGTTCTTGCCCAAAGCCCATACATTTTACACAATTTTTTTAAAACTCCCACAGTCCTGCAAACTGCTTTTCTGTCTCTTGCAGAAGCATGGACCCTGCACAGCTCATCATAATTTTGTATGTGTTGCTAATACAAGACATATGATTCCCCTGTACATGCAGAACTTGAGTGAGTACTATTACAGTTGCAGAGAGGAAGTTGCAGAGATGGTCAAGCACAGTAACTGAATGCAGATAGACATAACGGGGAGGAGGAGAGAGGGACCAGAGCAGCTTCAAATGGTGAATCTCTGCTTCTGGGCCTGAGAAACAAGCACTGGCTGGTGGGATTTGCCTGGGAGTAGGAGAGTACATTAGGTCTTTTCTCCTTCCCACCCTTGGTGCCTAGAGAGAATTGCCAGCTGCCAGGGGGAGGAGACTTTGTGCACTCCCCCTGTCCCCAGATTTCAATAGGCCTGTGGGTGGGAGGCGTGGCAGGGTGGCTGTGTGCTTGATCCACCAGCTTGGTGGACTGGACCAGCCCGCAGAGGCTCCTTTGCCCACCCCTGCTCTTGCAGGAGCTCATTCTTCCCTCCCTCTGCCCTTAATCTGGTAGGAGCTCACTCTCTTCCCTGCAGCCATGGGGTAGTAGGAGCTTGCTCTCCCCACTATTGTGTCTTCAGGGCTGGCATTCTATGTCCCTGACAGTTATTGGGGGTCCTCTTTTTGAGCATGCCCCTGTTTTGACACATTACAATTATTGATGCTGAAATGCCAATATTGAGTATCACTCACTTAGTCACCTCAACAGCACCAAAAAAAGTATCACCCACTGGCCCAGTTATTGCAGGATGAGAGTTGAATGTGCTTTTGATATACTGAAAGGCTGCTGATGCTGTTTACTCACTAGAGTTGGACCTCACAAGGCAAACATCAATATTGTTGTTGAAGTGGGTTGTGCCCATGAAAGCTCATGATACCATCTATATGCTGCTAGACTATTTGTTGTTTTTCAAGTTTTATCAGTATTGTTATAACTAAATGTTGTGTTCTGTATAATATTTAAGACAATGTGGGGAAAGTTACCACCATGGTGCAGGGGTGAGGCTGACCAGCTGTCTGCTGAATTTGACCATTCAGATAGCTACAAAGGCTATTAGAAAAGCCAATCATGGAGCAGTATGGCTGAGGAAGGCCTTAAAAGACCATTTTAACAGTAAGTGTTGGTAGTGTTTTCTGATCCTTTTATGAAATACTTATATGAAATCTCATGTGAATTGAACTTTAATATGGATGGGTTATTGCTCCCCCCTATGAATAATGTACTAAAATAAATTTCTGCTCATTTGAACAGCATTGAAATAGGGCTGAGTTAGTGCCTTTCATTATGAATTCTGTAATGCAATTAATATTTGGTACAAGCTAATAAAGAGAGTCTGAGTTTCTACAAATTTAATTCTATAATGTGCAAATAATGTCCAAAAAAACTAAAGTGCAAACAAAACAAAAACTTTTTAGTAACTCTTTAATAAGGTAAACAGAAGTAAATATTAAACATTTATGTTCATGTGTGTAACACTTATTACTGTGACACAAGAGTGGCTGATCCTGTGGTTTTCACAGGCCAGTATATGTGTAGCTGTGATTCTCCTTGCTTTACTCAGTATGGAGTGGTAATGTTGAAGATGTCCACCAGACCATCAGTTTTTACATGGGAGTGGGTTGGAATTAGACAATGGTGTTTTACAAGCACTAGAAATACCACTGAGTCTGCGGTCTTTGAGCATATAGGTCATTAATGCTCTGAAACATCTGAGTTTGCTACCAGAACAAATTCTTGATGTCCAAATGCATTTCCTAGTATACCTTTTGCTTCGTTTCCTTCTTCTGCAGCAACCAGTTTCTCCATTCTTGGTCTTTTTCCATTGTCATGGTCATGTGGCCTCTGCAAGCCCTGTGGTTACAGTCTAAGTTTGTATAGGATTGGAAGATCTCACAGAATATATCCTCCTTTTCTTCTTTCTCTTCTCGTTCAGACTCAAACATTCAGCAGATCTGGAGAAAGCACCTCTTAAGACCACCAGGCCCAGCTTTGCTTATTAAAACTAATATTGTGTTAAATTCCTAACCACAATGGAAAGGGAATGATAAGTAAAAAATATCTCATACATTGTTCCCTGTAATAAGAAATGCTAGTTGTTACTTCAGCATCTCTCTACAGCTCAAGCCATGGTGAGTAAAGGTGTAGGATCGTTCTTTTGCATAGAAGGTTTAGAAGCTGGGTGTTTCTGGTTGTGAGTATAGGCAGTGCAGTGAAATCGGCAGGATTTTCACAGGCACTGATAACTTTGGCTGATATCTCACTCCTGAGGCACAGACAACTCAGCTGCAAGTGACATCCGAAGGCTGCCTGGGCCCATGGAAATTTACTTGAGCTTGTTCAAGAGAATAAGGACAACCCTGTTCATATTAACAAAGTTCTCTGTACAGCCCCTCAATTCAGCCCAACAAACCAAAGATAGAAGTGGACATCGATTCTACCTCTGTTTGTTCTACCTCTGCCGAAGCACAGGGAAATGATCTGATGTGAATCGTATAATCAAACGGCCATATTACTTTTGCTGGATTTATTGTCTAGCATTTTTTTTCTAACATTATACTAAGTTTTCTCTAAATTTGCTGAAGAGATGGGCACCATTATTGAAATGGGTAAGAATAGCAAGACTGGGGAGAGAGATGAGATCAGTGTAGTGAAAATGATTATAAAGAATAATGCCAGTACATCCAGCTTCCTTCTCATCGGACACCTCATCTGCACTCACATGGTGAAATGGTTTGAGTCTCGAGCAAAGTCAAACTGCTTCTGGTTCCAGGCATGTTTTGTCCCCTTCTCCTTACTATTCACAATACAGGTGTGCAATTCAGGCTTCTGCCAGAGTGTACACAATTAGGGATGTTAAATTTAAATTCATCAGCTAATTGAGTTGATAGAATTTCCATCAACTAGTCGATAAGGGGGGGAGAGGACAGAGGATGTTCGCTATCCCTGCTGTGCCTTGGCCTTTACAATGTAGAACGAGTCTCCCACAGCTCTTGCTACATTTCAAAGGCAGAAGCACAGCAGTCAGGGCCAGGTGCGAGCGGAAACTACGTCAGTCCCTGCTCATGCTGGGTTCCCTGCTGCGCCTCTGCCTCCCCTATCCTTCCATTCCCCCCGCACTGCGGAGGCAGTGCTGGGGCACCAGCTCCTGCTTTTCCCACCCCCTTGCTGCCTCTGATAGAGGCAGCGGGACGGGGGAGGAATACAAGTAGTCGACTCTACTACTGATTTACATCCTTATCCACAATAGAATGCAGGGGGCTGGTAGGGTCACATGTTTAATATTTTCAGTTTTTCAAGTCATCAGCAACTATAGACTTTTTAATGGCAAATTTATCCAAGACACTGCATATCAGAAGTTGCAAAAGCTTAGTGTCTTACTTAGCTGACTGTATGTCCTGCAGCTCATTCTGAAAATGACAGGTCTGCAGTGCAACTGCTGATGTCTTGTTACCTCCCTCATCTTCTGCTATCCCTGACAAAAATACTTCATTTTGACATAGCACAGCTGGTCACCTCCGTTGTGCTGCAGTTTCAGTGTTTGCTGTGCAGTTTGCACATAGAGATTTGTATTTTCACAGCTGTTCCATAACTGTTCTTTTTTACAGTCTCTTCTCCACACAGGCCGAGAAGATCAAGACTAATTGTTTGTTCCAGGGCAGAGTAAATCTAGTAGCTCTCTGTGTGTAGAGGTAGCATGGTCAAATGCACACAACAAAGGTGAGCTGGTTGTCATGCTTGCCAAGGCAGGCAACCTGGAAGAGTCATTTCAGAATCACATGAGAGGTGCTAACGCAGGGGCAGGATGGTTAAGGAATTCCAGTCTCTGTGACTGTTGACAGTGGAGTTCAGTATTGTGACTGGAGCAGCCACTGTTGCAGGGACATGAATATTGTGGTCAGTTGCTAGAAGAGTGCTCGCATTAACAGATAATTCATTTACACTTGCGCTGTGTTGACCTATGTAAGTGAGCCATGGCTCTGTGTAATGGTATTGCACTGCTCTGCTGGGCATTAATGTTGTTTGGATACTGACTGTGGTTTACACATAACCAGGCCAACACAAGTGAACTTAAGTTGACCTAACTTTGTAGTACAGACCAGGTCTTAGCAATTTGAAGAAATCATGTTTTGAAATTGGAAAGTACTGTCCTTTTTATGTTATGCTTGGTGCTGCAAAATATTTTGATAAATAGTTATGATTGATTGAAAATACCTAATTTTTTACATAAAAAATTCTCACTTCCTGCTGGGAGCAGGGATGCTGAGTCCTGTGGCATGTACTGAAATATAATACATGTTAAGACTAAAATATTGATAAGAGCAAACACAAACATCAATCAAATTGATTTGTAATCTTGAGAAACAAGTTTTTCTGAGTTGATATTTCATTTTTGTTACCAGAGCCACTTCTCTAATTTCATCACTTTTGTTTTTGCCCAGCCCTAGTGCTTAAGTATTTCTGTTTGACTGCACAGCAGGTCTGTGTTCTCTAACGCTGAATTGATGCTTGAATTATATTGTAAATTGTATATATTCAAATTAGACTCAACTAATTGCATTTTCTGGCATGCAATCTATAATTGTATAAATGTACAAGTTAATTTGGATTATACAAAATTACAAACTCTTGTATTCATTAATACTGCAAGCTCAGTTTTATCTAAAGCTATATTAAACTTTCAAAAATTGTTGGGTTTAAATGTCTTAGTGTACTTGTCATTTATCATATGTACCGTGTATATATTTTTAAACAAATGTATACTCAGAGTTTTGATTTTTTTTGTTATTTAAATGATGAGGTGGTAGACAGAATTTGCCATATAATATACAAACATTATTGGTCTATTTCGAATTAACAAACAAGTGCAGGATTTCAGAAATTCAGTTTTTAAGCAACACTGAGCACAGTAAAGGACATTACTGGGGGAGGGACTTTGGATCTGATCCATCTGCCAGTGAAATTAGTGGAATTAGGACCTAATTTAGTCCTAAATGGAGCACAGGATCTGGTTGAGGAGCTGACTATAGCTGGAATGCTTAGTAATCGTAACCATAATGTAAATGCAATTAATATCCCTATGACAGGAAAAACACCACAGCAGCCAAACACTGTAGGTTTTAGTTTCAGAAAGGGGAATGACACAAATGACATTAAACAGAAATTAAAAAGTACAGTGCCAAAATTGAACTCTCTGTAAGCTACATGAAACCTTTTTAAAGACGCCATAATAAAATTTCAATTTAAATGTATACTCCTCTTCCTCCTCCCCCAGCCCCAAAAAAAGTGTCACTATGGCTAAACAACAAATTAAAGCAGCAGCAAAAGGCAAAAAAAGCATAGTTTCAAAAGTGGAAATTAAATTCTAGTGAGAAAAATAGAAAGGAGCATAATCTCTTGCAAAGAAGGTATGAAAATATAATTAGGAAGGCCAGAAAAGAATTTGAAGAATAGCTAGTCAAAGATCCAAAGTAATAGCGAATAATAATAATAATTAATAATTAATAATAAATACAACAGAAGCAGGAAGCCTACTTAAACAACCAGTGGGGCGACTAGACTATCAAGATGCTAAAGGAGCACTCAAGAAAGATAAGGCAACTGCAGAGAAACTAAATGGATTCTTTGAATAAGTCTTAAGAACTGAGGATACAAGGGAGATCCCAAACCTGAGCAACTGTCCAAGATTGACGTGTCATTGGAGGGGATTTGTAACGAATTCAGAAATTATAAGAAGGCACCAGATTGCTTTCACACCCTAAAGTTCTGAAGGAACTCAAATATGAAATTGCAGAATTACTGTAGTCTGTAATCTACCATTTAAATCAGCTTCTGCACCAAATGACTGGAAGATAGTTAATATGATGCCAATCTTTTTAAAGAGATAGAAATGTAGCCGTGTTAGTCTGGTGTAGCTAGAACAGAAAACAGGACTATGTAGCCCTTTAAAGACTAGCAAGATGGTTTATTAGGTGATGAGCTTTCCTGGGCCAGACCCTCTGAGGAAGTGGGTCTGGCCCATGAAAGCTCATCACCTAATAAACCATCTTGCTAGTCTTTTCTTTTTAAAGGGTTTCAGAGATGATCCTGGCAATTAGGTAAGCCTGATATCAGTATCAGACAAACTGGTTGAAACTATAGTAAAGTAGAATATAGTCAGATACATAAATTAATGTAATTTGTTGGGGGAAAGTCAACATGTTGTTTTAAAGAGAGATCATGCCTTTCCAATATACTAGAATTCTTTGAGGAGGTCCACAAGCATGTGGCTAAGGGGGATCCAGTGGCTATAGTGCACTTACATTTTCAGAAAGTCTTTGACTAGGTCTGTGACCAAAGGCTCTTATGCAAAGTAAGTGTCATGGAATAAGAAGGAAGGTCATCTCATGCATTGGTGACTGGTTAAAAGATAGGAAACAAAGGTTAGATATAAATAGTCAATTTTCAGAATGGAGAGAGATAAATACTGGTTCCTCTCTGGGGTCTGTTCTGGGACCAGTCCTATTTAACATATTCATAAACTAGAAGATTTCCCTGCCATTGCTTGGGTCGTTCAGGGCAGGAGGTTGAAGTGTGAGGATGCAAAAATCAGGGCAGGGTTTGGGGGACTCTGGGAATGGGATGGGCATGCAGAAATTAGGGCAGGAGCCTCCCCCTGCCATCTTATGCTACAACTGAGACTTCCCACAATATGGAGAGCCCCAGACCCGACTGGCTACGCTCTTCTTGGTGAAGCTGCCCCCTCTGTAGTCATTCTCCAATATAACTGTCCCCTGTGCTCATTGCCCCTTCGTGTTATGGAAAACAATCTAATTCCAGGCACATCCCATTTTCCTTATGCAACCAACCCTGACCTTGCTTTAAGTTAGGAGAAGAGGAAGCTGCCTACTAAATGTGGTGGTCCTAGCTGTTACCATTTAGGAGGAGTTCTTGAACAAATGGACTGACAGACAGACTCAGACTCTCAAACTCTAAAACGTATAGAGAGATGACGTGGAAAAAGAGATACATAGTGAGGAGGCAAACTGTGCAGATGATTCAAAACTAGTCAAGATGTTTAAGACCCAGGCAGATTGTGAAGAGCTACAAATGATTTCTTAAATCTGCGTGACTGAGCAACAAAATGGCAGATGAAATCCAATGTTTATAAATGCAAAGTAGTGTGCATTGGAAAATGGTGGAGTGAGGCAGCTGTTAGCACTCAAGAAAGAGATCTTGGAGTCATTGTGGATAGTTCTCAGAAGCCATCCAGTCAATGTGTAGTGGCAGTGAGAAAAATGAATGTAACGCTGGAAATAATTAAGAAAGGGATAGCTACAGAATATCTTATTGCCGCTATATAAATCCATGGTACTCCCACATCTTGAATACTACATGCAGGGTTGCCTCATCACAAAAAAGATATATTAGAATTGGAAAAGGTTCAGAAAAGGGCAACAAAATGATTAGAGGGTATGTAACAGCTTCCGTAATGAGCAGAGATTAATGATACTGGGACTTTTCAGCTGGGAAAAGAGATGACTAAGGAGGGATGTGATTGAAGTCTACAAAATCATGACAAGTGTAGAAAAGAGCTATTTACTCCTCATAGCACAAGAACTATGGGTTACAAATTGAAATTAATAGGCAGCAGATTTAAATCAAAGCAAGTTTTTTTGCATAACACACAGTGTGCTTGTAGAACTCTTTGCCAGAAGATGTTGTGAAGGCCAAGATTATAACACGTTTAAAAAAAAGCTAGATAAATTCATGGAGGATAGTAGTCCTTCAATGGCTATTAGCCAGGATTAGGGTTGGATTAAGAAAGGGGCTTTAGGATCTGCAGCCGATGGCTTGGACTAAGGAGGGGCACAAAAGGTCTCTGGGATGCCAAAAAAAGGAGCTCTATTTTTTGGGAGGGAAGGGGACCTTATCCCAGGCCCTGGCTGTAACCACTAAAGCCCCTGAGTTCCAGCCCTGCTTGGCAGAGGAGGTGAGAGGTGAGGGAGGGATGTGGCTCTGTGTGCTCCTATTTTTCCTTTGTCCCCATTGGACTAGAGCTGCAAGTGCTCGAAGCTCCATCCGCGCTCTGCTCTTGTCTGCAGGCTCGGCCCCCCACAGACCCATTAGCTGTAATCACAGAGGCACCTGCTCCCTCTCTTCCTTGTAGTCTGTTTAACAAAGGGGAGCTGGCCCCTGTACATCCCAAGCCCCTGCCCCAGCCCTGAGCTCCATCCCTCACCGTAACCCCCTCCTAGACCTTGCATCTCCACCTCCCGTTCCCTCCCACACCAGCCCCATCCCAGAGCCCACACTACCAGTTTGAGCCTTCACTCCCCTGCTGTGCTCAACCCCTGCTTCAGCCAAAAGACCGCTCCTGCACTCTGAACCCTTATTTTTGGCCCCACAACATCTAATAACCCTCTGTCTCCAGAAGAGATAATCTGGACCTGGGCTGGATAGGCAGGGATAGTGTCCCTAGCCTATTTGCCAGAAACTGAGAATGAGCAACAGGGAATAAATTGATCACCTGTTCTATTTCATTCCCCCTGGAACACCTGGCCCCTGTTGGAAGATCTATGAAAATTTTTAATTAAATGTAGTAGATACTGGATCATGATCCTGTTGACCATCTGAGAAGAACTTGTGGCCCATGACCGTATTAATTCCAGGCAGTCATTAATTCTCAGAAAACAGTATTCTCGGTCATAGTTACTGCTTGTAAATTTTATATTGTCACCACCAGGTAATTTGACCTTCTGTATCTACACATGCCCCTCTGTGACACCTCATAGGAGTGAAGATCAAAGATATAGCCAGCAACCAGGCTGTCAACTCATTTCTTCTTGCCTTTGGCAAAGATTGTGTCATTCTTGGAGCATTATTAAAAACTTTTCCTGGCCCTCACATGTGATGTAATTTTTAAGGTTTATCTGAGAGAATGGCTCCTTTCTTCAAATCTACATAACAATAGCCAAATACTCTGAAAATTTTGAAAGCAAAGTGGACTCCTGATATATATATTTGTACTGATTTTTTTTAAAGTACAATCCTTTTAATACAATTATTTGCTTAGGAAAATGCAGGATGTGGTTTCAGTTAAAATAGATACTTTTAATATTGGTCCATTTCAAGCAGTCTTTGAATGTCAGACATTTCCATAGTTCATTTTCTTTTCTGAGATGGATTTATATACCTACTGGTTTGTAAGATTCATGCTTAATTTTAATAATACAAATATTCTAATGAACAAAACCACATCTGATCTCTATTGTTTTTTTTAAAAAAAAACTATATTAGTATATACTGTGGTAGTAGGATTTTTTCAAGTCATCTAAATTTGCTGGTTCAGGAAAGAGAAAATTTTGATATGAAGGAAACTGTGACTCTGACCTTGGTTGCAAACCTTCCAAGCTGTTCCCTTGACATATTACCCAAGCCAAAATATCTTACTGCTGCAGCCTCTGATGTTCCTTGTCTGAAGATGATCATAGTGTGGAGGGTCTTTAAAAACAGTATTTTTCAGTAACTCAGTAGTTCAGTTTTCTGAGTGATCATACCTTAATGTTCAGAAACATCTTGCTGATGATAGTCCCAGATGGATTACACTGGTGGTTCACAAACTTTCATTTTACAGAGCAAGAACCTAATAAAATAGAAGTTTGGTGAACTTGTTAGTGTGGATGATCCATCACAGAATATCATTCAGACAAGATGGAGCTGTC